TCCTGAGTGCCTATTGAGTTTTTTCTGGCTTGCATTTGTAAATTTCCTTGTTACCCGACATAATGTGGACGTGGACGGCCGAAGTATACTTTAGCCTGCAGCCAGACTCTATTGGGGTGTGTTCAACTAGAAGAGGTGCGGCGCAGATCGATCAGTGTTTGACATCCGCGAGAGCGATTCAAAAGTGCACGGAGCAGTCTGCTCTCTTTGGCTCTCGTGGTACTGTAATACACCGATCGGTCTGCACAGTCGGTTCTCGTCAATTCGAACACTCCTACTAGTTTACACCGGTTACACTAGAGATGTGGCGCACACGTGAGGCTGTAGTGCTAATGCGTCCCAGCCCCCTTAGATGTAAGGCTACATTTACACTGGTGCGTTTTTGTGTTAAAATGAAAACGATCCTCGTCATACTGGCATTTACACTGCGTTTCAAGCCGGCTTTCCACTATCTTCCATGACAAACGACAAGCGACAGACCGGAAGTCATCCATTTCCAATGGAGAGAAGTGCGGGAGCTACGTGGAGTTCCGATCATATGCAGATGTCCGTTCATACTACACGACCGAAAGCGCCTGTTACGTGACTGTTCATGCACACTGTAGCATCATGCTACATAAGATTTATATTCTGCTTTTACTCAAAACTCACTTTAAACCACCATCGAGTGTTTGTAATAACTTCCGATTGCCGTTCAATGTGTGTTTTGGCCATGTAATGTTGCTGAAATTAAATATGTTATTACCTCTGAGTCAGAACAGCGATTGTGGAAGAGAGAACACAGGCAGACAGCACTGGAAGCTGCTAATGCTCATCAGTTAATCTCACCCACTGCTCCGGGTGTGTGTTCACTGCTGTGTGTGTGCACTTTGGATGGGCAAATGCAGAGCACTAATTCCGAGTATGGGTCACCATACTTGGCCACATGTCACGTCACTTTCACTTTCGTCACTTTCAGTTAATCAGTGGAAAATGAATAGAAATTATGATTCTGTCTGCGCTATGCGTTTTAAAACGATGCACTAGTGTAAATGTAGCCTAATAGATGTGTAAACTGAAGACTATTTGAGTTTTATTAAAACTATTTGCACTTAATTTGCATTTATTGTCTTGGTTACATTTTGTTCTTTTGTGCAGTGGCTCAGGAGATAAGTCTTTGAGTCTGTAAAAACATCAACAAGCTGAAAAATAAAACCAAGTTTTTTTTTTAGATAATGTAATCTTGTTAAAATTGATTTCATAAAATTGGTATCTAAAAAAGTATCGTTCAGGAACCGGTATCGAAGTCAAGGTATCGGTATCGGTATCGATATTGAACATTTTTGAACGATACCCAGCCCTGATAATAGGTAAAAAAAACTCTCATTAAAATAATTGGTAAAAATATAAATGATCCTAAAAATTGCACTCAAATTGCTGACAGGTTTCATTTATAAAGTGAATCCAGAAGGTTTTTCCATCAGCAATTAATGAGTTTTGTGCACTGCCTGCTCCAGCTCTAACATCGTTCAGTTGTTCCAGCACTAATTAAAGGTCATTTAAAGGTGAATTTAGAGCTTATGATCACATGACGGCTGACTGAATGATTCGTACCGGTGCGGTGGCGCAGGGGCTCATGGGTAACGTCGCTGTGGCTCACCAGCGTGCTCCTGTTGACTGTGGCCTCTGAGACCAGCTGGAAGCTGATGTTGGTGTAACACGTGCCCGACAGCCAGTGCTTGAACACCGTCTTCCCTTTGAGGAAATCTGCAGAGACACAGAGAGAGAGTCCAAGTTCAGCTGTGACAAACACACACACACGTAACACATGTGTAACACACAGAAACACACGTAACGCCCGTAATACACAGAAACACACGTGTAACAAAATTGTGTAACATACAGAAACACACATGTAACAAACGTGTAACACACATAAACACACAACACATAGAAACACACATGCATAACATGCGTAATACACAGAAACACACGTGTAACACAAACATGTGACACACACACAGAAACACAAACGCGTAACATGCAGAAACACACACACGTAACACATATAAACACACATGCATAACACGCGTAATACACAGAAACACACGTGTAGCACAAACATGTAACACACGCAGAAACACACCCACCTAACACAGAAACACACATGCATAATGCGCGTAATACACAGAAACACACGTGTAACAAAATTATGTAACACACACAGAAACACACACGTAACGTGCAGAAACACACACGCGTAACAAACGGAAACACACACGTGTAACACACACATAACACACGCATAACACACATGCATAACACCCATAATACACAGAAACACACATGTAACACATAGAAACACACACAAGTTACACACACATAGAAACACACATGCATAATGCACGTAATACACAGAAACACACAGTTAACACAAATGTGTAACACACAGAAACACAAGCGCGTAACACGCAGAAACACACATGCATAACACGCATAATACACAGAAACACACATGCATAACACACACAGAAACACACATGCGTAACGCGTGTAAAACACAGAAATGCACATGTAACAAACGTGTAACACACATAGAAACAGATGCGTAGCACACATAACACGCAGAAACACACACATGTAACAGAAACACATGCAGAAACACACATAAGACGCAGAAACACACAAATGTAACACATAAAAACACACAGGCATAACACATGCAGAAGCACAAACACGTAACACACACATAACAATTGGAAATACTCAACCCACTCTCCCCTATGCAATTATAACTCATTTGAATCTCATGTGATCACTATAACAGCTCCTGTAAAACTCCAGGTTAAGCGTCTGCTAAATGACTAAATGTAAATGTATAACAACCGGCACCTTTATACAGCATGTAGTGTGGCTGTCGGCCCTCCATGTAGCTGATGTTTACTCTCGTGTAGATGTTCCTGTCGGGAGAACGGATCTGAAACACCACGCCGGTCTCTGGAGCCGGACTGTAATCAGACATCTCAATGCTGTCTAGAGGAAGAGGCTCTGAAAACACACACACACACACACACATACACAGTTCACTGATATATCACACTGGAGAAACAGGAGACTGAAAAATCAATGGCATTTTGTTGTAACGAGGATAAAGGCACTCTGTTCTGACTTAAAACTGTTACTGAAAACATAATTGTTTAAAATAAAAGTGGACAGTCTGACTAAAACACTACTATACCATGATGTAAGTCATTTTATACCATAATAACAGTATCACAACATAGCTGATTCTTGCTTGGAATTTAACTTTTTTTAATTAATTGATTAATTAAAGCTTATGCTAATTTTTAAATATGAAATGCTTATTTTTTTATTTATTAAATAATTTATAAATATTTTATTTTTATAAATTATTTATTACTGCAAACTGTTTTATTATTTATTATATTTAATGTATTAATTTATTTTCATGTATTAATTATTTCTATTTATTTATTTAAACATGTGTTGTTCATAACGTACTACTGCCTATTTACATTTTTTATTAGTGTAATATTTTATTTTCATTTATTATTATCTTCTTGCCTATTTTAATTTATTATTTTTATTTAATAATGTATTTATAAATGTTTTATTTTATTTATTATTTCTGCCTATTTTAATTAATTTTTCATTTTTATTAATTAATTTATCAATACTTTATTTTCATTTATTAATTATTCCTGCCTTTTTTAAATGTACTATTTTTATTTAATAATGTATTTATAAATGTTTTATTTTATTTATTATTTTTACCTATTTTAATTAATTTTTCATTTTTATTAATTAATTTATCAATACTTTATTTTCATTTATTAATTATTCCTGCCTTTTTTAAATGTACTATTTTTATTTAATAATGTATTTATAAATGTTTTATTTTATTTATTATTTTTATTTTAATTATTTTTTCATTTTCATTAATTAATTTATCAATACTTAATTTTTATTTATTAATTATTCCTGCCTATTTTCATTTATTATTTTTATGAATTTATCTATAAATGTTTTATTTTTATTATTTACTACTGCCTATTTTAATTTATTTATTATTTTTATTTAATAATTTATTTATAAATGTCTTAATTAATTTATTAATGACTACTGCCTATTTAATCTAACTTATTTATTTATTTTTAATTTCTTTCATTATAAATGTTTTATATTTTGATGCATTAATTTCACACACGTGTAGCAGATGTCTGACTGTCTTACTGGTGAGCACAGGGACGGTTCTGACGGCTCTGGATGCGCTGCTGTCGTTCCCGAGCATCAGACTGATGGAGTAGCACAGGCCGTGGTACGAGGCGTTGAACTGGAGCGGATGCGGCAGCGTCTGACCGTCGGCGGGTCGCGTGAACAGTAGCGTGTGCGTGTGCGGCTCTCCGGAAACACGCACCGAATACACGGATGCATCAGGCCTCACGTCATCAGCATCCAGCGACAGCAGCATCCGGTGGTCATCCTGCAAAGCCACCTGGAACGGAGCCCCACGCTGAGAGGAACAGGAAGAAGCGCACATCGATCAACAATCAATCAATGCAAACCACATCATCATGACCGCATTAATAATGAACGGAAAGACGGGTAAAGGGAATCGAACACATAAACAAACAATCACAAATGCAATTCAAGAGCAGCAGCACCACAGATCCGGACCGGCTCTCAGAAATGCCCTGAATTTCATAAAGATTTATAGATTTTCTCGCAAAATGAGCACAGAAACCCTGTGAAGATCCTCCCGCAGAAACAACGAGCAGCGTAATATTGCTGTTATCATCTGTGTCTGAAGATTCAATATGAGATGAAAATTTAACATCAGTGTCATACTATAGTAGTTTTGGTTAATATCAGATGTGCTTTATCCGAATTGTGACCAAACATTTAGAGATATAAACTCAGAATTGCAAGAAAAAAATTACAATTTAGAAATTCTAAGATCAAAATTAGCAATTGCATTTTTTTATACTTTTATTCTATGACAGAAACAGCTTCCATCATTTTTATATTTTCTGTTTTCATTTGAATTTTAGTTGAAGTTTTAGTAATTTTGTTGATCATTTGTATTCATTTTTGTTACAAAGCTGTTTTTTCTTTGCGGTGTTTTGTATTATTTAGTCATCATGAATATGACGTGACCGAGTGTTGTTTTGTCTTTGCTAACATGTTTGAGGTCAGACAGACGACTGATGGAAATAAAAGCACTGGATGGAGATGAAGATTACGTGCAGCTTTTAGACCAATCAGAGCTCAGTATGCAAATGAGCCTGACTGACTGTTACATTTGAAACGATGAAGATTCCATCAGTGGAAATCAGAGCAGATTCAAACTAAGGATAAGCGATACCAATTATTTAGTTTTCCGATACAATACCGATACTTTTAAAGGTCAATATCATCGATACCGATACCGATACGATACTCCTAAACTACAAATACTATGATTGGTTAAATAAACAAAATCTCTGGTAAATAAAGATATTTTTTATTTGAGTATCGATACTTTCGATACTCGATACTTCAGGATCGATACACTCATCCCTAATTCAAACCTATCAGTAACTATCAGTAAAAACAGAATAGATCAATAAACTACAATCTGAATGCAGTCTAGGCTGGTAAGGGTTAGTTAGGGGGAGTTACGAGTTCAGAACAGAATGCTGTCACACTTTATACAATATTTACTTCACATTCACCGTCAGTAAAAGCAGCAGTTTATGATGCACTGACATACTACTTTTATTACTAGAAAAAAAGTTCACACATATACATACAGTATATATGAAATGTTGTTTCTTAAGTAAATTAATAAATTTTATTTGTATGTATTTTTCCTGAACAATCATCACTAACACTCTTCATCTTAAAGAACAGAATAAAAAATATTTTATATAGCCTATCCTAAAGCAGGTTGGAGTTCAGAGATATATCATTATAAATCTCTCTAAAACTGTCCAAAAAAAAAAAAAAGACAGAAATCTGTTTAAAACCCAAATTCATTTCATGTTAAACTGATTCAATCTGACAACTTATGAAGTGAATCAACACTGAACTGAATCGTTCTGAATAATGACTCTATTGTCTTCTTAGTGCTGCTTTAAATTGGTTTCATAATTGATACATTTTTCAACATTAGCAGTTATTTTTTTTAATTTTTACTATCTGAAGCTGCTTTGAAACAATCTGTATTGTATAAAGCGATATTAACGGAAAAAAAAGAATCTTCTACTTGAGATGTTTAATTTAATCATTTGTTATTATTAAGTTGAAAATGTTTCTGTAGCAACGTTTTAGTGCAGAAATAAATTAATATTTAACAAATAATATAGGACTTCACTTAATATATCAGAAACAAATCACAGATTTAATCGGAGACTCATTTTCTTTACCCATAAGACATTAAAATCTATAAAAATGTTAACTCTTGAACTTTTGAACAAGAGCATATTAAATAATATTTTTATATTATAAAAAAAAAACTTTAAATATTAAAAAATAATAATATAATTTTTTATATTAATTGATATTTAAAATATTAAATTGTAAATGTATTTATTATTTATAAATCAAATTTAAATGCTTTTAAACATCATCTGTTTTAAATATGAGACTCATTTTCTTTACCTGTAAGACATTAAAATATATTAAAATTGATATTTAAAATATTAATATTAAATTTTACATATTTTTATTATTTAAAAATAATATATAAATGTTTTTTAATGTTTTAAATAATTTGACATGGGGAAAAAAGCAAACACACACACACACAAATACAAAAACATAATAATTCTAAAAATAGACCAAATATGATTTCTTATTTCATTCTTTTGCGGTTTTGAAAGGCTTTTCTATGAAAAGTCCGTTTAGGAACAATTAATTTTTTTCTAACAAAAAAAAACAAAACAATTCTAACGCCAAACTTTTGAACAAGTGTGTATTAAAAATATTTTGATTTTAAAATAATATTATCTAAATAATATTCAAACATGTTGTGTTTTTAAATAATATTTTGGTTGAAATTTTGTCATGCAAAAAACTCTTATTTCTACTGATTTTGGGGGTTTTCAGGAACGTTAGACGTGTGTCTAAATGTGATGCATTTATAAACAAGACTCGTTTTGAGAAGAGAACCTCGGGAAAGAGACAGAAGACAAAACAAGACACACGTCACACTCGAGGAGCATCGAAGATGCTGAGGAATTTCTGTCAGATAATGTCACAGCAGAGGCCTTTCAGTGCTCCGATGAATGAAGGTCAGCGACTGAATGAGGAGCGCAGCTGCTGATATTATCATGCAAACGGAGGACTCTGAGACACAACTTCTCGCTCAGAAAGAGCAGCAGGAGCACAGTCTGATGATGAAGATGAAGATTAAGCTAAAGCGCTGGATTATCGCTCTGTAATCCATCAGAAAGCGAAGGCGCTGCAATAATCTTGCTTTTAATCGCTGAACCCACAGGACTTTTGTGTTCCAGAGAGACAAAGGTCTCCAGATTAACGGCCACAATAAACCCATTTGTGCTTTACACTCTTACAAATAAAGGTTCTTTATTAACAATCGTGAACATTCATGAATCCATTAAAGGAGTGGAAAAAGGTTTTTTAGATTATTAAAATGTTCTTTACACTTAGAAAATCAATGTTATTTTAAGAACTAAGATCACTGAGAGCTTCTTTGTAGAATCAGATCCATTTACGTTCCCTAAAAACTGTTTTTAACAATCATAACACATTCATTTATCTACTTATTATTATTTTATTTTTCAGATTTTTTAGTTATTTTTAAAGAGATATTAACCATTTAAAATGTTTCGGTCATTTTGGCCTTGGTTTGTATGGAGATCCATTAGTGTCAAAAATACTTTCTGTTAAATGATCTATGGAGTTATATTATTGTCAAAAACGTTTGTGAAATATATTTCAGCTTTTCCCTATATCTCACACACTTTTGGACGGAATTTTGTTGATGAACATGAATATGTACGTCTATTGCAGCATAAAAATTTTTTTATCACTTTTTTTATCAGAAAGTGAACGTTTGTGCAAGTACAATGAATTTGTGTTGTTTGAAAATTTTCAGAGTAATATTTATGTTGTTGTGTTAGAAATAACTGTAGGTTTGATAAATTTGGACTGTTTTTGAGCAATCATGAGTTATAAACATAAAAAATTTTTTATCACTTTTTTTATCAGAAAGTGAACGTTTGTGCAAGTACAATGAATTTGTGTTGTTTGAAAATTTTCAGAGTAATATTTATGTTGTTGTGTTAGAAATAACTGTAGGTTTGATAAATTTGGACTGTTTTTGAGCAATCATGAGTTATAAAGTCAAAGGAATTCATTCATTCCATTGTGTTTAACATTTGTAATTCTCAAATAATATGTTCTTATAAATTAAAATAAAATTTCATATATATATATATATATATATATATATACATTTTATAATATGTAATTTCTCAATTGGTAAAAGGAGTAAATACAGTAATAATGTGGTAATAACATGGTAACATTCAAAACTTCCACATGAATTAATTATTGACATGTTGCTGATCAGATAAAATATGTTTTTAATTTATGACTGTTTCATAAAATAACAATTTTTGTGAAATGTGAAAATAGCAAGCAGATTTTTAATGCATTTTGAGCCATTTTTCTTACTGCAAAGAACATTTAAAAAATCTGAGGAAACTTTTTCCACTATAAAGACCCTTTCGATCAAAGGAAGGGTTTCATGGATGTTCAAGCCAATAATGGCCTGTTATTTTTAGGAGTGCCAGACGAGCATCTGAAGACATGCGAGCGGCTCGTTCTGCAGACGCTGCAGGTGCTGTAATTGCGTGAGGAGAGACGCTCCTCGGGCTTTTAATCAAAAGCAAACACACCGGTGTGTTCAGTGCAGCGGGAGGACGGACACACACACACACACACACACACACACACACACATAAACCCCTCCCACCGCACAACAGGAGGTCCAAACCCGCCCACAGACCGCCGACTCGCCCAATCAGCTGCTCCGCTCGCTGTGATTGGCAGCTCTGACTCAGCAGGTTTTTTTTTTTTTTTTGAACTCTTTTCAGAGTTTCTGAAATGGGAACAATGAGTGAATCACACACACACACACACACACACACACACAACACACACACTCTCTCTTTCACACTCACACACACACACTCCAAAGTCCATCTAAAGAGTATAATAAAACAAAAAAAATGATATTCTTTCTAATTTACAAGTTACATATTTAGGACATTTTTTTAGTGTTACACCGTGTCCTAACTACATGCACAACGACGACGCGTCACGCAATAAAAGGTATCTTTTCCATGTTAATCAGAGTTTTTGTCCTAACTAGCCGCAACGGCAATACATGAAATTTCTAATTTAGAAACGGTTTCTATTTCCGCGACGTAACAACAACATACAAACTATATGACAGTGATAATCTCAGCTTTATTCAAAGTTAAACGTGTCTAATATGAGTTT